CCCCCTTCCAGCCCTCCCACCCTCGTGACCCTTTGATAAATTATAAATTACTATTATTTTCATATCTTGCACCGACTGCTGTCTCCCCATTTCAGTTGTTTGTCCCCCTCAGGGTGGGGGTTACGCATCCATCATTGCGATCAGTTCCCCCTTCCTCCCGTCCTCCACCTGCCTTCTCCTACCCCCAATTGGGAGGATCACTCCTCCCAATTCTGTTCCTGAGGGGCTTATCTGACCGGGATTCTGTTGTCGTGAGCGCTTATCTGTACCAGTGTACACACTCTGGGCTAGCCAGAACTGAAAGGCAGGACTGGGGTCATGACAGTGGGGGGTGAGGAAGCCTCCCAGAGGAAAATTGTGTTAACTTGGTGCTATACTGCACCCGAGTTGACTCATCTTTCCTTGTGACCCTTCTGTGAGGGGATGGGACTTCAAAAATTTTGTGGAAAATGGAATTTAAACACAATGGAATTTCCACAAATATTTGGAAGCCCTCCTATGGTTGTAATTTTATCTTTCAGGAAAAAAATAATCTTTAGAATTTGTCCTCATCTCAGATATCTTTTCTTCTGTGCATATATATTATAAACAAATGCACGTTTTCCATACAATCGGAATATGCTATATAGGTACTGTACAGAAGATATTGTTACACAAAGCATACTGTGAGCCATTATTTTTTTTAAACCCCATTATTTCAGGATCAGTCATATTTTTATTTGCTATGCTTTGAAAGAAATGAAAAAGTGAAATTTCCTGTTTTTAAAATTCTTCCTCAGCCATTGAAAAGAGCAGAATGTTGATCTGAATGGTAGAAACAGCAAGCCAATCTCACAAAGTCTGACGAATGAGTCAGACAAGTCCTACGAAGAAAACCACTCAGATGATGTTACAATAAGTATGTAAAGGGACTCTCAGTGGTCATGTAGGACAGATTTGGAATAATCTACAGAATAAATCAGATTTTAAATAATCCACAGAACACATCAGCCCAAAATACTTCTAGTGAAAAAGAAAAATCTCTTATATAGATGATCATATATAGACAGGTTCTGAAAATTGAATAAAAATCATATATAAAACTATGGAGTAGCCGTACGTGGCAGTCTGCGGGCTTTACTTAACACAGCTGTCAAGGACAAAGAAGTCACAGAAAAGTTACCAGAACAATAAAGCAGGTAGAACAGAATTTATGCTCAAACCAAAAAGATTGGAAAATTTTAGGGGGGAAAATAAACCTGGAGTAGACTATACTAAGTGTAATAGGAACTGTGAAAAAGTAAGTCTTTAGCAACTTTCTGAATGTTAGAAGTGAAGGATCCCCTTCAAATGAGAATTATATACTTGGGACAACAAAATAAGTAGAAACTGAAATGAAGGATGGCAATCAGATAGAAGCAAAATAAATGCATAAATAAATGTATTGATAAAAAATGTGAACACAGATTTTGGAGAAAATCAGACACTGAGGGAAATTTGGCCTGTTTGGAATTCACCATTAGCCTGGTGCTACCACACTACAAAAGGTACTGGGGGCGGGGGAGGGGGGGGCGGGCTCTTCAGAGCCTCTAACACCAGTTAGACGCGGTCCAACGGCTTGTTCTTCCATGACATTCCTTAGGTTTTGAGGCACAGAAATCTTTCTTTGTAGGAAGACATATCTCACCACACATTGGAGCGGCGCCTTACACATAATAAATATCCAATGGGCTTGTTAATGATTGATGATAATCGTCTATGGCTTGTATACAAAGCATTCAATAATGTTGACTGGTTCATAGGCATTCTACCATTTTTCATGAGATACACAATAGATCAGTTTTAGGGATCTTAATTTGCCAATATTTTATAGTCCTCAAAGGAATACTGGCAGTTCCCCAATTTTGAAGGAATAAGTACTGCCTTTAAAACAATATAATAGTCTTCCAATCTAATCATCTCCACCATTGGATTGCTCAATTTTTAAAACCCTATCCTTCGTTTGGCATTAGCTCTCTGGTTTTGAGATGGATTTCAGTTCTAATGACAATGAGAACACCAGTGAATTATTAAAAGTAGTCAAACTGCCTCTTCACAAGCATGAATGCTTTACCGGCCTATGCAGATCTACTTCCGTTGTGGTTATCAAATGCATAATCTGTGTGTGACTTTAAAAGAAAAAAAATTTTGTTCAAACACGGAACTGTCAAGATGGCAAGTGTGGAGGCCAAACTAAACCCAACACTTACCGAGTTAAAACGTTACTGTCAGCTTTTAGGCCATCAGAGAAAAGCATTAGAAAAGATGTGGAATAAATGGCATTTATCAGCATAGTTAAATGATATGTAATATTGTTTTCCCAATGTTCTGAAGAACAAAGTTTTAAGGAGCATTTCTGAATCACTGGGATGGGTTTTTGTTGTTAAGGGCTGTCAAGTGGGCCAGTCTATTCTTTTTTAAAATCATTTTATTGGGGGCTCATACAACTCTTATCACAATGCATCCATCCATCATGTCACGCACATTTGTACATTTGTTGCCATCATCATTCTCAAACATTTGCTTTCTACTTGAGCCCTTGGTATCAGCTCCTCATTTTTCCCCCTTCCTCCCCGCTGCCCCTCATGAGCCCTTGATAATTTATAAATTATTATTTTTTGTCGTGTCTTACACTGTCTGATGTCTCCCTTCACCCACTTTTCTGTTGTCCATCCCTCAGGGAGGAGGCTATATGTAGATCCTTGTGATCAGTTCCCCCTTTCTACCCCCCCTTCCCTCCACCCTCCTGGTATCACCACTCTCACCACTGGTCCTGAGGGGTTCCTCTGTCCTCGATTCCCTATGTTTCCAGTTGCTATCTGTGCCAATGTGCATCCTCTGGTCTAGCTAGATTTGTAAGGTATAACTGAGATCATGATAGAGGTGGGGAGGAAGCATTCAGGAACTAGAGGAAAGTTGTATATTTCATCATTGCTACACTGCACCCTGACTGGACCAGTCTATTCTTTCTCACCAGTCTCTCCTAGTCTAGAAGCTCTGCTGAAGCCTGTCCACCAGAGTGACCCTGTTGGTATCTGATATATCTGTGACATAGCTTTTAGCTTTACAGCAGCACACAAGTCACCACAGTATAACCAATCGACAGATGTATTGGCAGTTGCAACACATAAATATCCATAAATTAGAACTTGATGTAGTTTTCTAAATAAAAATAATACTTAGTAAGATAAAATAACCAACCACTGAATTTATTTTTAGCATCTAAAATGATCTATGAACAGCATATAAAATAAAAACAAATATGCTTTTTATTCTAGTTTACATATGAATTCTAAAAAACCCTTTGGATAGCATGCTTTAACAATTTCTCTTTGACTGTAAAATAGAAAGCATCTACCTTTTTTTGTGTTCTTGAGCGTTTTGGAACTCCCCCATCTTTAACAATTCTCTATGCAACTGTAATCTTTCCATTTCTATAATTCTCAAGAGATCATCCCGGGACTGTAACTCACTCTTCACCTCTGACAGTCCTGCTTCCATGGCCTGAAAAAAAAGGTAAACATGTTTTAATCCTATTTTTCACGATGCCCAATACATTTAGAAATATTAGCATCTATAAAGTAGTCTAATATTAAATGAATTGATAGTCCTCTGCTGGATTCATCTGATAGAATTTCATTCTTTCATTCGTTCGTTTATTAAACAAACATTTATTGAGTTCTTATTATGTGTTCAGCTGGGCACATACAGACTCGGAATAAGCCCTTGGTGAGTTCACCGGGTAGCAAGAAGAGGCAACGAGTAAGCAAATCATCACACAAAGATAGTTAAGGTCAATGTAAGCTTGAAAAAGTATAACATAGAAGCACGAATAACTTATCAATGCCTAACATTTTAATTAATGCAAATCTTTTCCAAATTAAAAAAAATATTAGCAATATATTCAAAATTCATTTCATTCAATTCATTCAAAAGCCCGTCAGTCTCCCCTTGGTGCAGCTACTGTGAACCAAAGGCCACACTTTCCCCCTTATGTGCCTTTTTGTCATTTAATTTTTATTGCCACAGAGTCCTTCCATTGACAAAAACAAGTCTGTGGGTTCAGAGAAAGAGCTGGGACCATGGACAGCGTCATCTACCTGTCATGTAGTATACATAGCTTGATTCGTGTACATTTTGATAATCCATCATCTTTGAAAACGTTCTAACGAGACTGCAATTTTAAATCTGCTGCAGGCCTTCCTGTTTGTGGTCAGGATGCCAATAAATCATGCTTCCACATCTTTGCCTTAGCTCATTCCTCAGTAGCATAACCCCCAGCAAGGTTTTACTGGAAAAGATGCATCTTGTTCAGAGAAAGCTTCTAGCTTTAAGATATTGTTAAGGTTTTTGGCCCAGAAATGAAGTGTTAGCCATGAATCTCCAGTTGGTTCAGCTACTCACCCAAAGACATCAGAAGGCAGGTACCTTGCATGCGGCCTCAGTATTTCCAACATTGGCCCAGAAGTGGTCAGCAGGTCCCAGAAGGAGACACTGGACCTGCCTAGGAATCCAATTCCTGAGCTTGCACCAAGCCTGGACTCCTATAGGAAAAGGCCGCCCTCTCGGGATTGCTTTCCTCACTTACTTCACTCTCCCTCAACAGCAAGTCTGAAACTCCCGCATTTTGGTGTCCATACTTCAGTGGGTAACTAGAAATACCAGCACTGTTGGGTTCAATGCCCATAACTCCTATTGTTAGTAGGAGATTAGAAGTTGAGGATGGTGGGAAATGGGGAGCTAACAGCGAGTGTGAGAAGAAATGGTTCTAAAATTGGTGGGTTGTGGGGATGATTGCACAACTCTTCTTAACACGATCGAATGATTAAATTGTATGATGTGTGAAGTACATGCCAATAAAACTACTTTAGAAAGTTGTTGGGAAGGTCCACTTGGGAGAGTGGAAGAAAGACAGTTATGGTGCTAGGTCCCAAGGAGGGGAGTGGGATGGGCTCCAGAGCACAGGTGGAGGAATTGCCTCTTACACACGAGAGACCTCCCGTAGCCCTGAGATGGAATGTACACACTTTTATGCATTGAGATGTGGAGATGGGAATGGTTGTCTCTGTCAATAAAAGACAGGGTCACAGGCTGAGAGTGAAAACAGAGGTGGGAGTGGGGTCATGGCAGTGATTTTTGACGGCAAAGAAGGCTTGCAATGGCAATCATAGAGAATGGGAGAACGAATTGATGGAAGAAACACAGTACTTGTTCGGCAGTATTGGGTCACCCTTTGAGGTATGTGATCATTGGAGGCCGGTTGTGGTTGTCGCCAGCGATATAATTGGTTGATCTCTGGGAAAGAGGATTGGAGGAGTCTTCCATCCATATAATCAGGTCCCTTCTATTCAATTTTAAAGAGAAACTAATATCTATTAAGTGTACCAGAGCCAGGTCATCAAACCCATTTCCATTTTGATAGATGGGGAAATTAAGAGCCAGACTTGGTTCTCAACTCATAATTGGCAGATCTCAGAATAGAAAAACCAGATCTTGTTTGATTCCTAATCCATTTATTATCTTCAAGGTGCAAAATAATTTTCACTCAAATCAAGTGAAAGAGACCTGTAATTATTGATAAAAACAATGCTAAGGGGTTTGGCAAGAGGTTTGCCTACTAAAAATGCTATAGAAAATACACTTCATAGACAGCTGCAAATCATCCTTGCTTTCTCAAATTATATATATTTAATGACAAACTAATTAAAATAGAATTCTTAACATATAAAGTTCACCACTCAAGGTGTACAGTTCCGTGAGTTTACGTGTAAAAAGCGTGCTACAACCATCACCACTGTCTAATTCCAGCATATTTTCATCACCCCCCAAAACTCTTCATACCCTCTACGAAGACATCACTTTCCACCCTCACCTTTCAGGACCTGGAAACCACTAAGCCATGTCTTGTTGATGGATTTCCTTATTCTGGGTATTTTATATAAACGGACTCATATAATATACAATCACTTGTGATCGGATTTTAAAATTCAGCAACGCACTCAAAGTTCACTTGAGCTGTATGTGGCAGAACGCGACTCCTCTTTAGGGCCAAATAATATTCCACGGCACAAGGATACTACCTCTTGCTTATCTGGTCATCAGGAAATGAACATTTGAATCGTTTCCAATTTTGGGCTCTTATGACTAATGTTTCTATGAAAGTGTATATACCAGTGTTTGTGCAGACATGTTTGCCTACTCATTAATTCTTATCCCAATATTAACAAACCTAAAAAAAACCCATTTTTCACACTTGTGCAATAACAACAAAAGCTAGTATTGAAGAAATCGAGGAATTCTACCAATATTTTTGGTCTGAAATTGATCAAATAGGCAATCAAGGTGCACTAATAATTATTCACGATTGGAATACACAAGTTTGCAACAAAGAGGAAGAAACAATAGTAGGAAAATATGGCCTTGGTGAAAGAAATGAAACTGGAGATTGCATGATCCAAGACTGTCTTCTTTGTCTCAAATACCTTTACTTTCAGCAACCTGAACGACGACCATACAATGGACTTCTCCAGAGAGAATACAGAGAAGTCAAAGTGACTACGTCTTTGGGAAGAGACGATGGAGTAGCTCAGTATCAATGGCCAACATAAGGCCAGGGGCTGACTGGAATGAAGCGTGTTGAACCAGGTGGAAGCTGAAGAAACTAACATAAATCCAAGAGAGCCAAAATACAAATTTTGAGAACATCTCAAGAATGGATTGGATGCATTAAACACTGATGACCATACATCTGACGAGCTGTGTGGGATGATATAATACACGAAGAAAGAGATCACTAAAGAGAAGAGAAGGAAAAGATGAAAGTTTACATCAAAAAACACACTGAAACTTGCTCTTCATCATAGAGTAGCTAAGACAGATGAAAGGAATGATGCCGTCAAGGAGCTGAACAGAGAATGTCAAAAGGGCAGCTCGAGAAGACAAAGTGAAACATTGAAATGAAATGTGCAAAGACTTATGAGCTAGAAAGCCACGAAGGAAGGACATGGTCACTATGTCTTAAACTGAAAGAACGACATTTTAAAAAATGCAGGCTTCAGGTTGCAACATCGAAAGGTGCTATAGACAAAATATTGAATGATGCAGGCAGCATCAAACGAAGACGGCAAGAATACAGTCATTGTAGCAAAAAGAACTTCAACCTTTCAAGATAGATATTGAACCATTTCAAGAGGCAGCATCCGAGCAAGGGCCAAAGGTGCTAAAGGAAGCTGCACGGAGGGTACTGTTTTAGACTGGAAGTGCCACAGACTGCAAGAAGAACAAACGGATTTGTCTTGAAAGACGCACAGCCAGAAAGCTCCTTAGAAGTGAAGAAGGTGAGACGAAGTCCCATGTTCTTTGGTCAAGACCGGAGATGGACTGACACATTGGCTGTAACGAGGGGCTCAACCATCACAACAATTGCGAGGAACTGAGGTTGCCTTCTGTGGAACAAAGGGTCGCTCTGAGTCAGGGCTGACTCGATGACAATAAGAACAACAAAGCTGCAAATGTGAGGATCCTTCACAAAGCATCTGCTGTTGGCAGTCAACTGAGGCCAGGGCCTTCCAGTGCCCGGCAGAAAGCTTGGGAGACTCAAAAAAGAAGCAAAACACTGGTTAAGTGAAACATTAAGTGTTAGTAGAAACAACCGCTGGAAGGATGCTTCATGAGTTTTCATAAGATCTTCACTATTTAAATACTGGTCTGAGACGACAGCAGCCTGAACACTAGTTATAAAGGGAGAGACTTCCGGCTCTAGCCTGGAGCTGCTGAATCCGAATCTGGAATGATCTTAATTCCAGAGTGATTAAAGTATGAGAAATGCCATTTTATTCTTGGACAGCGTGAGTATTATAGATTATTGTATCACTGAAATTGTAGGTAGAAGAGTCTACTAAGGATTGGCACTAGGAACCAGAAAGTCTAAGAGCCTCAGAGAAATGACTGTGGTCTGAACAGGCTGGGGAAATACTCTATTTTGGTACTCAAATCACTTGCATCAGGACCACCTGCTGTGCTTTTAGAAATAGCTTCCCCCTGGTGATGTAGTCTGGAGGCTTGGTGACTTGTTTATGAGTTGGGCCGCATTTAGCAAGGTCGGCAGTTGGAAATCACCAGGTGCACCTCCATGGAAAGACGGGGCTTCTACTCTCCTTAACAGTTACAGTCTCCGAAACCCACAGGGGCAGTTCTACCCTTCCCGATTGGGTCATTATGCGTTGCAATCACTTAATGGCAGTGATTTTTTAATAAAATTTTTTGACCCTCGACATACTTTGATTCACTAGGTCTGGATGATTCATCATCCCTGGTGATATTAAGCATGCTTAGGAAGGGTTTATTAGGAGTCCGGGTGATGCAGTGGATTACACATTGGATCAGAAATTGCTAACGGCAAGGTCAGAGCTTCAAATCCACCACCCTCCGGAGGAAAATGAGGCTGTCTGCTCCCAGAACGATGTAAAGTTCTAGAAACTCACAGGGGAAAATCTCCTTCGTTC